TTCTACAGATCAACATACACCCCCCCCCCCCCCCCCCCCGCCACAAAAAAATGCTGTGTCTCATATTGGATACACTACTTGAAAATTATCAATCTTACCTCGGAGTTACTGGGGTTTTGTCAAATCTTGCACTTCTATCTTTGATATTCCTCCAGTGAACCAATTTTCAGATGATAAAATATATCTTCAGAGACCTATCTCCCTACAGAAGCCACTGGTCAAGCATGTATTTGAACACTTTGAAATGCATCAATTCGGTTCTATTTTTAAACTACAGACAGTAATAGTGGAAATAATCTTTATAAATACACATGCCTGCATCAAAGTGTCTTCACATACAATGGTAGAAAAAAACAAAACCTATTAATAATGCTTATCCACCCTCCAATCAAGTTGTTTAAGAAACATCATAATCTTTTTACAGTCTCTTCTGGAGTTCAATAAGCGATGGTTTCAGATACCAGACCTGACTATTAAGCACTAAACTTCCACAACAGTGTATGTCTTATGGCATATTCCATGCAGCTATAAGCAAGCTTTCCCAAGATTTTGTGCTTGCAGTGGCACAGCATGAGCCAGAACTAAAATACCTTGTCTTTCAGTACAGCTTAATAGCTTGAGCTTGGCATCACATTTAATAGCATCACGTGATCTTGTTCAGCATGAAGGTAGACTGAGCTGCTTAAAACATATCCTACTTCCCCTTATTTCCAACAGTGTGGATATGGTACTACCGCTGAAAAGCAACACTACACAATGGGGATAACAGAGTTGCCATTTTTTTTTTGGTCAAATTATTCCAGATTTAAAAGTTCTAACTACCAGTTTCATCCCATGACCTCTAACCTCCTGCTTCTGACCAGACCTCAGCTGCTTCAGATGAAAACGGAAGAAGCCCGACAGTGGATGATTAGGAAATACCTTGCTCATAGGACAGTTTCTTTCTGATGGCTCATGTCTTTTTACTCAATCTCGAAAAGCAAAGATTACAGCATAATATCTGAATAACCTAACTTTGGTAGAGATAATTATCCCTTTCTCCATTCCTCTAATACAATTGTATATTTTTTACCCTAGAATAGTAAACCTGGTTATTTTTAGTCTAAATAGGCTGTCAAGTTGTACACGCGCACTGTGCCACAGGCGCAAGCACACGTGGAACCACCTGTGCAAGCGCAGAGGTGCAATTTTGAACGCAAGACATTACTGTGCTTTCAGATCAAGCGGTATTGCACAACTAGGTGAGAAATACAGGCCAACACTGTCACTTCTGCAGATACATACTATCATGTGCAGAACCTAAACCACGTTTTTTATAGCATCCTGTTGTTCAGCAAAAGCAGTTTCTTTTTATTAATAATTTCTTAAAAAAGCTGATTGGGTGCTTGCACCACTGTGTGGGCTGATTTCCATAGAAAACATATTTGGGAAACAAAGATTGCTGTTAATTATATGGAACTAAATACATCCTTACATACTGCCACTGCCTCACTAGGTTTGGCAACCAAACTGTCTGGATTGGGGTAATTTGTTGTACCACTGTGCAATGTTAAACCACAACCTCCAAATCCACAAGGGTTCTCTTCCAAGTATGTGATGAGTTTAGAACCAGCGTGTCTACTTAGAGAGAACTATTTTCCAGTCCTAGTTAGATTAGTTTCTCTTTATCTAATACGACATATGCCTTTATTTTCCATGCAAATGGTCACAGGACGAGTGTGCTGCCTGCATTGTTTATTCTGCCAAAGTTCATTAGAACTGTTCAGGACACTTGTCATGTATCCACAAGGCATTATTATTGTTAACTAAGAATAGAGGTACTTCCTGGTCCTTTTGAGAGTAAATTTTGAACAGCTTTTTGAGAATGGCAAACAATAAGGAAGTGGGTAAGAGTAGAGTAAGAGTAAGAAATTCCATGGTTTCTGTAGTATTTCCTAATTGCACCCCGGGTGAACGCTACCTGCTTTTGGTAAATGCTGTACAGAACTTGCCCGAGAAACCTGTCAACATCAGACAGATAAAAAATGTCTATAAAATGTGAGATATTAATGTGATTTATGTAAAGGTATTTTGAAGCTGCATACATTTCTATTCCTTCCCCCCACCCTCAAGAACTCCCTTTCAAGCTCAGTGAATATACACTTGCCTACAGACTGCATTAGGGAATCATGCCTGTTTCTATTTCTATACATCTTATTTATTATAATGAAGATAATTTGAAATGCAATCTGAAACTCCCCGAACATTTTTAAAACAACCAATGCAGTTAATCTAATGCCTATGGCAATCTCTATTTATTCTTTGTGAGCGTACACTTTCCACAACTTAAAACTGGGCTGAGCTTTAATTTAAATGTAACAAGGCAGAATACCAGTACAGTGCTTTCAACAAAATGGCTGAAACTGGCTTCAGCACGATTTGCCTGGAAGGGACGATGAAAATGTGTTTTAAAGGAGAAAAAAATATCCTGACCAAAACCAGACATTCTAAACAACCACCACCGATACCCACTGCTCCTTTCCTCCCCCATCTCTATCAGCTGCTAGGCTTTCAGCACCGTTTTTCGCCAGACACTAGCACAGTGTTTTCCTTCATAGTCAGCCATCAGCCAGAGCTGTCACTTGCAGATACTTCATTTTTGTTTCAGTCTAATTCATACTGCACCCCCTTAATCTCTGCAGTGAGTAATGCCATGTCACTGTGCAGATACGCCAGATCCAGCACTAGAAGTATAGAGAGTGTTTTTAACAGTTAAACTGTCTTGGTTTGAAAAAACATTTCGTTTTTTTCTCCCCCCAACTTAACCGTTCTCTTTCTCCTAAGCATCTTCCCAGCTGAACTCCAAAGGAGCAATCACTGTTCGGCAACCTGGCACGTCTTCGATAAAGCTCAGCTTCATCGTGGTGGGTGAAGACAAGCTGCAGCTCTGTATTACTAAATGCAAATAATCAATATGTTGATTGAGCTTTTGGCTACCAGAGTTCTTTTGACGGGAGTGACAGTGAGCATGACTTCCCTCTTTCAATGACAAGCCTGTTTAGACTTAGCTACCTACCACTTTGTGAATCAGGCAACTGAAAATACCCACAGCAATTCCTCCAAACTGTCAGCTATTGCTGTGATTCCACCCAGCACCCCCTGTACAAGACAACAGATTAACCATTAGGCTAGATATGTTGAAAATATACAGCTTCAACCTTTCCCCAGCTAGCTCAGAGCGATGTATAGATGATTATTTCAACCGTCAGCTGCCGCATAGACTTAAACCCCTGCACAATAACTCCTGGATTCATCTGCCCCTTGTCAAACTTGCACAGCTTTAGTTTGAGCATACGTGTTGTGGCAGTTTCACTGCGGATCTAGAATAATCCAGACGGCTGCTGTCTCTTTGTTAACAGGAAGCTAAACTGATGAGTTTGTAATGCATTTCTTATCAAAGGTAGTTTCAGTAAAGAAAATGTGCCCAATCAGTTGGGGTTGGAATTTAGCATAGTATCGAAACATGGTTTAATCAGAACATTTGTTACTTGTTGGGAAAAAAAAATATTATCCATCCCCTTTAAAAATCACTTTATTTATTTTACAAATTTATAAT